TATATACACTTTAATCTCTTATTACTTTAAACTTTGATGATATATTTTAATGAAAAATATATCTATATATAATGCACATTAACCTTTAATTGTGCATATGAATAAACATGTTTTAAGATCAACGTAATGAGATATATATAAAAACGTGTTTTATAATTTTTTTGAAATATAGTACAATTTCGAAAATTTAATCGATGAATTATGATAACACCAAAACACATGCTCTGATACCAAATATAAATTTTATTCTGATGGTTTTCGATAATTTTATGAAAACTCACCAAAATTGGATACGGTATTACATAATTCACACAAACTTAATAAGATAGTATATATCGTATATGAAATATACCTGAATCTATATTGCAGCGGAATGACTTTGAAAAACAAGTGGGTAAATCATTTTTCTCTTCTTTCATCCTTATTTTGATAATTTTTCTGATGAATGAAAAATATGAATCAATATCTTATATTCATAGGGTAAGGAGAGATGGATTATCATGAATATCAATGGACTTTCAAACTTGATTAACTCATATCCATCAATAAGTTCAAACTAATATGAAATCCAAACCCAAAATTCCATGGACCATTTTAATGTTTATATTTCCAACATAAAATACGTTGATTTACTTTCATTAAAACAAAAAGGAAAAAATGCAACGGGATTACTTAATACTACGTGGGATCCATGTAGAAGTGGGGGGCAAGAATCTGTTAAAATCCCATGCTCGAAAAGATTGGAATATATGTGTGTGTAATATATATATATATATATATATATATATATATATATATTATTTATTCAAGGAAAAGTGAATCTTGTTATCCTTCCAAGTTTATCCAAAACCTTGCAACATGTGGAGAATAATAGAAGATGGGTGAGCGACACGTGGCATTGTAGGACTGAAGGAGGAGAGTTTGATATAATTAGTCAAATCGTCATGTCTTTTTCTTACAGCGAAAATAAATGATTACGTAAAATCTCCATAAAAATTAGTTTTAAAAAAAAGATTATAAACATGGAAGGGAAAAAAACCCTTACTCGTACAATATGGTAATTAAACATCTCCCTTAAACTAGATATAAAAAAATTTAGGTATAGAAAATGAGATGATTTGGTTGTGATTTTCCCAGTTTAAATTTTGGAATCAAATTCGAAATTTAAGTTTTCTTTTTTACTTCAATTTAAAGAAAAAACAAAAAAAATCAATTTTACATACTAAACCCATGATTAAAAAAAATGAAAGTATTTTATCCCTATAGTATTAGTTTTTATGACGTCCGTATTAAATTAAAACAATGTATTATCACATAGATCATAAATATGTATTTTATTTTATTTTTAAATATGAATCAATTTAGCACATGTGTTATATATGCTCAAATAAAAAGCTGCACCAAGAACAAGACCGTTACTCGAGTGTCCAATCTTGGTCTTATTTAATTTTTTTTTCGATAACGGGTATCCTGGACCGAGACTCAGACTAATCTCGTGGTCGAAAGCAAACCATATGGTTGAAATTACACTCTTCTCTTCAACTTGCGTTTCCGTTTCACCGGTTGAACCATCCAAATTGGATGGTTTTATTTAAAATTATAATGCATTCTAAGAATTTTCAACTTCAATCTTTTTGCATCATTCGGTTTTATAATTCAGATATGAAACAAGTAAAAATGATCCTACTTCCTAAAATTTGGAATTAATATTCGGAATTAGATACTCTAATATCCATTATCGTTTCTATTTATATAGGCTAATAGTTCACGTAATTTTAATATTTGTACATCGGATGGCACCACAGCTGCGGTTTGGAATTAAATATGTGCGGAAATTCGATGGTTTTGGACCGATATTATAAATCTTTATTCTAAACGACACAACGACTAAAATTATGAAAACAACTATTATTTTTTAATTATGCAACGTTTAAATTTTATATGTTATTTGATTCAAAAATAATTTTAAGTTATAAAATTAGAACATGTTTAGAATAAAGATTTTAAATAATTTCATTCCATACAATGAAAAGAATAATGATCAAATAGTCATTGTTTATCTTTAATTATCATTTGTTATATTTGAATGTTTATTTGACGATACGATGGTATATTTAGATTATTATGTTTTTTTATTATTATAATATTATTTTAGGATCTATAAAATTGTTGGATTTAAAATTTTGTAGAAGATATCGAGACTTCAATTATTTGTTTATATAGAAAAAATATGAAAGTTGAATATCTACTAAAGTGGGCCCCCAAGCACAGTGATTGTGGGTCCACTTTGGGCTCTCCACCAATCATTTCTCACCAACCATTCTTCCTAAGTTAAAGAGCCCTTTGCCTACTTTTTTTTTAGAAAAAGCCAATCCAACTTGTTTTCCACTTAATAAATCAACGGTTTCATTGGCATTTATTTATTATGGAATATGTCCATATATTTTATAATAATATTTTTTTTAATATTAATCTTAGATACAAATTATTTTGGCTTTAGACTAATCTTTGATTATATATTAGATCTCGAAGATTTTTCCAATTTTCTGAGAAATATAATTAGATCAAAGATTCGATAAATTTACGGATTATGAAAAAAATGGTTAGACCTCGAAATATGATGGATGCTAATAGATCTCCATTGACTAACTGTAACGTGTTCGTGAAAGAATGTATCTATATGTTAAATTTGAATATATATATATATATAATATGTTTTTCAAGAAAAAAAAAGTTTTACTTCAATTAGAGCCACAACACAGACTTCATAATTTGAAAACCATAGAATTCCTTGTAAATTTTGTGAAAAGTTTAAAAATTGTTAAGATACGATAACATAATATATCACAGAATTTTAATTTAATCTGAAACTCCAGCCCTAAAATTGAAATCATATCGCATTAATTTTAAATCAAATTATTACCTACGATTTTTAACATGATGTGTTTTTTACTCATTCTTTTCATACATTTTCTTTTATTTTCGATATATGTCGTTATAAAACTATCATCAGGTTTGGCTTTTGTATAATTTCTTATTAGATTTCCCGCCTTAGTGATTAACCACCTCGTACCGTAAAAAAATTAATTAACCTCGCATTTGTTCCAAAGAACTCTTAATTCGGTAACTTTCAATATACAAGGAAAAACATGAAAATATAATATTATACTACACAGTACCAAATTAAGGAAAAAGAAACAATGATAAGATGCGTGAAAAAAATATATATATATATAAAGAAAAAAGAAAAAGCGAAGATGGAATTCCATGATTGTCATATTCTAGTGGATAGAATTAGCTTTGCCACGGAGAAAAGATGTCAAACACACACACACACACACATATATATATATATATGTATATATATATATATTATAAAGAATTTATGAAATTTATGGATTATGAAGAATTTAGGATATATATATATATACATACATATATATATGTTATAAAGAATTCATGATTGTCGTATTCTAGTGGATAGAATTTCACACACACACGCACACTATATAAGAATTTATTGCAGTGTCCAACAAAAATAGAGGATTAATAAAAACCATTACTAGGGATGGTCAAGGAACTCGATTTTTAGGGTACTCGAATTCGATAATGGATTTACAAACAACAAAATTTATTAATTTAACAAATCGTTTTTTAATTAAAAAAATTTAATACTTAATAAATTATTATAAAATGTGTTTCTATATATGACAATCTTTTTAAGGAAAAATCAAATTGTAATGAACATCCGGAGCTTAGCACTAAATGGAATCAAATTCTGTAATTTTTTGGAGGAGCATAAAAAAAACAAAGTACAAATACATGAATGTATGAGGGCATCAGATTCAGAGAGAGAGAGAGAGAGAGAGAGAGAGAGAGAGAGAGAGAGAGAGAGAGAGAGAGATCATAGGTGTTGGATTGAGATTATGCTTATCTTCAATTCAAACACGAAGGATCTCTTTGCACTTCCTTTCATTTCGTATCTTCTGCTTACATTTTTTAAAATTAAAAATCGCATAAGATATACCACGCGACCGTAGTTTCTTTTTATAACAGTGGGAATCCGGCATACAGCCAGACTCCGACCGTCCCAGCTCTCAGGTCGGATAATCGGTATACCGATAGTAAACCTCCGATTCCACGTAATAGCCGACAAACCATGTAGAACAGATAAACCAGTTGAAACTGATCAGTTCAAGGGAAAATTCAGTCTCAGCTAGTTTCGAACCCACGATCTTGTGTAAGGATAGGTTGTCACTAACCAGTAGAATTTGGGACTTTTCCCGCGTCCGTATTTTCTTTGTTATTCCTTTTTTGTTTTCGATTAAACATTAAAATAATAGTCCAATGATGTTTTAGTGTTTAAAAATTCGAAGAATATATACAAATATAATCATAATATACTATTTTCAAAGTTCAAAATTCAAAAGATTGTACTAAGGTAACTGTAAAAATAACATGAATTTATATAATTATAACGAATATTTCTAAAATAGAACATAATGGAACTTAAAAAGAACAAATTCGAACTTTCGGAATCCAAGAAATTTTGCAGCCGTGTATTTTTTTTACATTTTATTCAAGAAAGATGATGGTCGGCGTGGGGAATATTTTTGTTTCTTTTTTAAAAATAAAGCTTTAATTGTCGATTTTCTGACTCAAAAAAATTGTAGCGAGACTAAATACCGGATTTTGTCACATCAATCATCTCATAAATCCATATTTCAAGAATTTATAAAACTATTGCGAAACAATATGTCCTTTGATCGCATAATAATATAAAATGTGTAAAATTTGATCTTTGTTTTTTTTTATTTAACATGTATTTTTTTTAAAGGTTTTGTAAAATTGTACGTATTCATTGAGATTTGTTATAAAATTTATAATTTTAATGAAGAATTTAAAAATCCATATATTACAAAATACGAAAGAATTTATGTATTTATTTGAAAGCTGATAATAAAATCAAATATTGATGTAAGATTTAGAATGTCTGAAAAGTGGTAAAAAAAAATTACCGCCCAATAAGACACCACTCTCTCTGTGTATATATACACACAGTATATGTATCTCCTTCTCATCAATTACTCTCCCAAACCACAAAATCATCGGACAACGGGATGGGCCACAATATTCTCGAGGCACTGAACGTACGGGTCGTGGGTTCCGGCGATCGAGTCATGGTCCTCGCCCATGGGTTCGGTACGGACCAGTCGGCATGGCATCTGATCCTCCCTTTCTTCACCCACACCTACCGAGTCGTCCTCTACGACCTCGTCTGCGCCGGCTCCGTCAATCCCGACTACTTCGACTTCAACCGCTACACCAGCCTCGACCCATACGTCGACGACCTCCTCTGCATCCTCGATTCCCTCCAAATCCACCGCTGCTTCTACGTCGGCCACTCCGTCTCCGCCATGATCGGAATCCTCGCCTCCATCCGTCGCCCAGATCTCTTCTCCAAGCTCATCCTCATCGGAGCCTCGCCCAGATTCCTCAACGACGACGATTACCACGGTGGGTTCGAGGAATCTGAGATCGAGAAGGTCTTTTCCGCCATGGAAGCTAACTACGAAGCTTGGGTCCATGGGTATGCTCCTCTGGCCGTGGGGGCCGATGTTCCCGCGGCGGTGAGGGAATTTAGCAGGACCCTTTTCAATATGAGACCGGATATCTCGCTTTTCGTGTGCCGGACTGTGTTCAACAGCGATCTGAGGGTTATTCTAGGGTTAGTGAAGGTGCCCTGTTGCGTGATCCAAACGGCGAAGGACGTGTCGGTTCCGGCCTCGGTGGCGGAGTATCTCCGGTCGCATCTCGGCGGGAAAACGACGGTGGAGACTCTGAACACGGAGGGCCATTTGCCGCATCTCAGTGCTCCGGCGCAGCTTGCGCAGTCTCTCCGGCGAGCTCTTTCCCGGTGAGGGATGTAATTTTTTTTTAATTTCTATTTTAAGGAGGAAGAAAACAAATGGGGTGGGATTCGATAATATGGAAAAGTTGTGGGGCCCATTTGGAAAATGATGTGGGACTGCGTGAGAAAATGTCAAATCGAGGATAAGATTGTCCACGTGATTCTCACGTGATGGCGACTCTTGGGCTTCTTCTCATAAAATAAACTGCGGAGGGAAAAAGACCTTTTGGTTATAAAACAGTGCTCTTATTCACACACTCTCTCTCTCGTTGGTAGGGGTGGGTGTTTTAACTCATGTACCCGGTTTAACAAATATTCGAATAAAAGATATCTAAATATTAACGATCGAGTATTAATAAGGCTAAATTTTTGACCCTCAAATTCAAGTGGGGTTCAATTATTTTACAAGAAATATCTGATATATTTGTTAAAAATCTAAAATATACTTTATATTTATAATATTATTATTTAAATTATTCTTATTATTTATTAAAATATTTTTATTTTAGTTCATCATTTTTTATCTTCTAAACCTTTCTATACAAAGATTTCACCATTCCAAATTTCATTCTGTACAACCGAATCAGTTATTATCTCTCTCAAAATTTTACTCATCTTTATTCATCGTAAATTTTTTCTCTTTATACTTTGATCTTTCTCATTTGTATTTTCTATATCTATCATTTCATAGTTCAAAATTTTATAAGTTGTATGGGTCTGAGTACCCGTGAGTACAAGACCGAAACTCTCATTAAACTCGAACTACAAGTATCCGGATTTTATGAAGTTAAGAGTGAGATAATATTTTTGTAAAAACCATGGTGATGAAGACGACATAGAATTTTTAAAAAATTGGGGGTACCCGACCCGTTCCCACACCTACTCGTCGGAAGCCAGGTCCACCAGTAATAACATGAGTGCGGTTAAATGGTTGTTGTTGTTATAAAAATTTAAATGGTATATAACGAAATTGCGTACACAATTTTAATGTTCTAAGGTGAACTAAAATATTGTTTTTGTATATTTGGATCTCATCTAAATATTATTTAAAAATGGATATTTAAATTACAATTTATTACTGGGTTTTTGGTTTTAGTTTTTAGTTTTTAGTTTTTAGTTTTTGGCTTTTAGATTTTATAAATTTGTAAATCTAAAAAAATGTTGTTTTTAGTTTTTAGTTGATTTTTTCCATAAAATAGATTTATGGGTTTTTAGGAAAACCAAATTTCAAAAAACTTGATTGTTGGTTTTTTCAGTTTTTAAAATCTAAAAACTCAGAAAACCACCTCCCATTCAACACTTAAAAAAGAGAAAATAAAAAAAAATTATATACTCTTTTTTTACTAAATAAACCATATACTTATACTTACTCGTATAAATATATAAATACTTTATAAAATTTTATAAATAAACCTCTCGACGTAAATGCCATAAAAAAATACTAACTAAAATCTGATATGGTATGATTTTAAACGTCACATATGATTAAATAAATAAATAAATAAATAATAAAGATAACAATAACAAGATAATAAATAACAATAATATAATAAATTTAATAATGATTAAAAACTATTTTTTAATCTTTTTTAAAACAACTATACGCAAAGTTTTATAAAAAATGTTTAAGAACGAATACAAGACTCATAGTCCTTTTTCTTTTTGGTTCTTTGATGTTTCACTGTAATTCATAAGAAAATATGGAAGTAAACGCATTTACACGCAATTATAGTTTCGCCCCTTGTATCCCTTTGGCATACTTAGATCCATTACTGTTAGAAAATTCATTGGACTTGTTTTTTCCATTAGTTAAAGGGGTATTTTTTTTTCCTATTCATGCAAATATTAAAAATATGTATCATTTTTAGAAATTGAGCAAATCTATTAGCCACTATTTTCTTAATTGAATATATTGTCGAATATATGATCCGTATTGTTTCTATTTTCTTAATTGAATATATGTCCAATTCTACACTGGAAAAATCATCACCAGGGCTCGATTTTTTTGTTTGTTTGTTTGTTCTTGAATTCCTTTGAAAGGTGTATAGTGTATACCTTGATAATTGTGAAAATTATATATAACTATCTAAATTTTTATAAAAATATCTTAAAAATTCTAAAATTTTGAAAAAATTTCAAATATATGCAAAATCCGTTAATAGTATGATTTATTTTTATTTAAAACATATTTGAATTTTGGTTTTATTTAAATTTTTTAAATTTTTTAGATATTTATATAATTTTTTTTAAATATTAAGATATTTATATGGAAGATTTATAATTTAGATATTTATTTAAATTTTTTAAAATGTTTATGATTTATATGCGATTTTCTTCATTTGATATTTACGAATTATTTTGGGCTTGGCATTTGGGCTTTAGTTTCAACTTTTTCAACAGGCTACTTAAATAGGTGTAACCCAACAAAGGAAAAAACCCACCATTTCACGAGGGGTGAAACGACGCGCACTTCATGCTCAGATTTGTTGAACGGCAGCGCTCACAAACTTCTTGACAGTCAGATTATGGTGTTGGTGATATTTATACGTAAATTTGATTTGAAATCTGTACTAATACGGCTAAATAAATAGTTTTGGTAACATATTTTTATGAAAATATTTCCAACTTTTAGCATAAAATAAACTGTTGAAATAACATTTTTTCATGGTTCCATAACTTTGTTCTAGTACCCAAATTGTGCTATATAATTTCTTTTTTAACAAATTGTGTCAATGGACTTCAATATTTGTTTATTTGCTTATATATATATATATATATGCTTCAACGTTAATAAATAATATATTACGTAAAGCCTTGCTAAACAATGAATAATCGTTTTAAACTTCTAAAAACATACATATGTTTTTTTTTTAAACATACATATGTTTGAATAGATATAACTTGTTTCCTGGAATTTTATCAAGAGGAACTAAATGATTTTATTCGTCCAACTGAACTACACATATTTTGGTTGTTATCTCACATTGGAAATACGAATGAGACATCAATTTCATAGGAACAAATGAAAATAATAGTATTTTAGCTGTATTATAATTATGTTTTATTTTTTCTTAATTTATAAGTTAATCGAACATTCGATCCAATTAAATCCCCCAAAACTCGGAAACATTCTATATACTATAATTAAATTGTACGACTTTTGGTTTCAACCCAAAATTTCTGATCAAGAAAACTGAAAACTTTTATAAACAAAAATAGAAACAAGGTAGGAAAAAAGAAAATGGGAGTCGATGTTGAGTGCCACGTGGCTATCATTAATCAAATATATGGCAAATCTTCAAAGATGATCGGACGGTCCAAATTCGAATAAAAGTCGGGTACGTTTTTCCCGAAAGCAAAAGCAAATGATAAGATACGTTTGACAATAACTTCTACCAACTGAAGAAGCTTCCAATACGTTTTTTTAAGTGTCTATGGCTATTTACTTAGTTTACTAAATAGACTTATTATATTTAATAGTAAACATAATAGTAGCTGACGTAAATTTATAATTTTAAATTATGACAGCAGACCTACTTGTGATTTATTTATTTTATTTTTTCAAATGGTTTTAACCAAAAATTATAATCATAATCAAGATTTAGATGATTCAACCGATAAAGACGGATAAAACAACTTATCAATCCAGAATTTTTCGATCCTCCAAGATGTAATTGAGTCAAAAACACGGTAAATTTCCTAATTATCCAAAAAAATAAATAATCGTTGCATATACTTAATTATATGTGATTTCTGGGTTTAGGGATATGATGAAGCATGCATTGATGATTCAAGAGAATGATTTTGTTTTAAAGACACTGTTACTAAGGCGGCGTGAGTTTGGTAAGAAGAGAAAAAAATGCAATCACTTCTTGATAAGACTAATTACAATTAGGAATTAATCGTCACTCACTCGGAATCCAACAATACTTAATTGTCATTATGGAAACAAAATCTAAGATTTAAATAATTAAAAATAAGATATTTTTAATGCAATTCTATTTCAGGGTTATCGGTACTTGTAATTCAATCATCATATCTACAACTCCAAAAAAAAAATGTTTAAATCGGATTTTTATTATTAATACACCATACAATTACACATAAAATGGTCACTATCTTTTATTTAATTCTTTCGATTATTTTTATAACCGATTCAAATTTAATACGAATGCAACTTTATCGGTTTTCATTTAGATTGATTTGAAATATGATTATATTCGGCTGATATAGTTTCGATCATCATATATATAAATTACAACCCCGGACCTTTCCAGCAGCATCTCTTTACCACTCCAGCAATCTGAACACCATATTTATTATCTTTTGGAGGCTAACCAATTCATATATATATATATATATATATATATAGAGAGAGAGAGAGAGAGAGAGAGAGAGAGAGAGAGAGGAAACAATAAGTGGAATAAAAAATTAAAAACCCAAACCAAACTGAGATCAATTACAGAGGATACAAGAAAAAGGTTTTGAGGCTTTAAGATATTTACAAAAATTTTGTTTTTTTGGGTATCATCATAAGAGTCGTAAAGAAAAAAAAAGTAGAGTTTTTTGTTTTGGGGGTGGGAGAAGAGTATGATTGTGTTGGAGGGAAGAGAGCACAAACGCACGTGACAGGAAAACCCTTTTAAACAAAAGCAAAAGGAAAATTTAGGATCTGGGAGCGCCATTGTTGGATCTTGGTTGCCTTAGAAGCTCTATCAACGTCTCCGCCTGTGTCCCATAACACCAATTTTCAATCACATAAACATCCAACGAAGACAAACATCTCTTTATATAACTATAGTGGCGAATCTATAGATGCTCTGATTGAAAACGAAGGTTTTCGTTAGAAGCTCACAAGTTCATAACCCGGATTTAATTTAATTATTTACGTATTATACGACATGCTAGGAGATATTTTTTTTTTGGAAATTTTTTAAAGTATGAAAATAATATACAAATATTAGAGCTTAGTTCAGTGAAGGTGATGACGTGGCAAATTACTGTTCACTCGCCTGCACCCAAAGAGACCAGGCAAAGACAAACGCATTAATTTCGAAATTGCCATTACCGATCAGCCGCCGAATCTCTGACCAGTAATGGAGGAGAGAGAGAGTCACCTTTCGCTTGGCGCGATTCGTACCGGACTGAGAAAGAGAGACAAGGGGAGGAATGGCGCCTTCACGAGCCACCAGGGTGCGGTAAACGATGCTCTCTTCGCAGAGCTGAAGAAGAGTCGATACGGCGATCTCCTTCTGCCTCTGCGTCCCGCCCTCCACGATCTCCACGAGCACCGGGACTCCACCTTCCTCCACCAGAGCCGGCTTCGCCTCCGGCACCGACATCAGCAAGCTCAGAACGAACGCCGATTTGTCAACCATGTCCGACCCGAAATCCGCCATTAATTCCATCAGCGGTTTCATGATCCCCGATTGCACCGCAATGATTTTGTTCTCCTTCACCGAGCACAACGAGTACAACGCCGTCGACGCATCCTTCTTCCCGCGGAATCCTCCGGTTTCCAGAAGGTTTACCAGAAGGGGAATCGCTCCCGATCTCCCGATCTCCGCCTTGTTCTCCTCGACCTGCGACAACCGGAGAAGCGCGCACGCCGCGTTCTCCTGCGCCGTTGATGTCCCCGTCTTCAGAGCCCTAACCAATGGCTTAATCGCCCCAGATGAAGCGATCACCTCCTTGTTCTCGTCACAGAGTGAGAGATTCAGAATCGCCGTGACGCCGTACTCCTGAAGCTGAGGATCCGAGGACGAAATAAGCGAAATCAACGGCTTTATCGCGCCAGCTTTCGCGATTTTGATTCGATTCTCGGATCTGTTCTTCGCCAGGAGCCTGATCTCCATCGCGGCATGTTTCTGCTCCTCGATCGAACAGGACTCGAGTTGCGAAACGAGCTGACCGATCATATCATCGGAGTACTCGGAGGCGCAGGCGAGGAGAAGACGGCGGTTCTCCGAGGAAGCAGTCGGAAACTCGTTGGATCTGTCACTGTTACAGTCACTGAAAGCAGAGGAATCGTCATTGACGCTAAAATCGCTGAAACTCCTCCCCATGTAGGTGAAACCGGCGTGACTCACCATCTCCATGAGATCGAATCTAGCTCCCTCTTCATCGTCGTCGTCTTCACCGCATCGAAATTCGAATTTCTAGGATCTGTTACAATTTGGGGGATTTTCAGAGGGATGCGAAGGTAATACAAAGGGGAAGAAGAAGAAGACATGGAAGAAGGAAAGCGTGGAGAAAGTGACACGTGGTATTATATCTTTTGACCGTACAACTAACCCGATCGGACTTTGCGAAAGGTCGCTTTTAACGCGTGGTTCGAAGGTTCGCTTCTATAAAATCGGTAAAATATTATATTACGAAATATAAAATTTGAAGACAAATTCAATATATTATTTTTTTAAAATTACTACTAAAAATTTTATTATAAATAAAAAACTATGTTGTACATTTGAATTATTCCGTCTAGTGTGTTTTAGTTTGTAATACTATTATAATCGATTCCTTTTTAATTTTATCGAATTTCTTTTTTTTTTAATACAAATATATTTGTCGAAAAAAAGACTCTGTTGATGTAGAAGATCTCAAGTAAAAATAAAACATGTCAATATGAAAAAATAGAAGAAATAATCAACAAATGATCTGAGTTTGAAAGAGAAGAAAAAACATTTCATTGATGAAAAATGGAAATCTTGAAGAAAAGTAATTAGAAAAAAAACACAATATTGGAAAAAAGAGGAGCTGCACATAAATACAACACATAAATACAGGACGTGAGAGTTGCGGAAAAACACATAGCTGAAAAGAGAAAAAGTAGAGAGAGTTTAATTCTTTAGAACATTGGACATAAATATATTTATATGGGAAACACGGGTGAGAGTTACTTATGAGAGAGTGAAAGAGCCTTCAAATAACAGATTAACTGTTACAGGGATATACGAGACATATATAGTATATGGCCTGATAGAATTTATGTTGTAAGGGGGAACAAACTTATAGAGAATCATGTTGTTGGAATGAATTATGTTCGAATGAAAAGGAATTATAATTCATATTGTTTACAAATGAATAGAATCAGTTGAGAAGTTTTTAAAAGCGGTATCGCGAGTTTAATTTTTCGGACTCAAAATCTGATCAATCTATATTTGAATTGAATATATATATATATATATATAATTATATATATATATATATATATAATTTTATTTACTAGGTCCAAAAGGGGAAAAAATATTTCCAGTATAACGAGTCAACGCGGTCCGACTGATTCTACATTGGCGTACTCCCTTGCTTTGCCCATCAAATTTATAACTTGTGAATTAATTACTAAATGATACTATTAGTCTAAATGTGTATTATGTTATTTATTTCTCGTTCTTTTAATATAAGATTGAAAATTGAGACGTTTATTCATTTTGTAATTTCATATTCATTTTAATCCTGTATATAAAAAAGCTAAAATTCCTTTTTTTCCCTAGTGGAATAGCCATTAATATATTTTTTTGGTTACATAAATATTACATTGCATCCTAGTAATGTGTATATGATGTGCTAAAAGATTTTAAAGACAATCTCATGAATGATTCGATACTATATCCAGACATTAGTACGAAAAAACACATGCAACAAGAATGGAGAGATTTTAGATTATTTCATCGTTGGATTCGTGTTATAACTTTAATTTTTATATGATATTGTTGATGTTTGCTAAAGGAAGTGAAAACTTCTAATCCTCCAGGAAGGTTAGGCTTTGATAAACCGGACGGTTCGACATTAGTGAATCGGTTTGGTTTGGAGATTAGGGTTAAAACAACCCATGTCTTCTTCCTTCTTTCTTTCCGTACTTTCAAATAATTCACCAATCTTACATGATTGACCACAATGTATCAAATCAAATAAATAAGAATAGATATAAAATAGTTAGACCTTGCTTTGATTTTGGAATAGATTCTCTATTCCTAATTTCTTTGATACCGAAAATGCTGGGAAGACCAAATAAGGGATACAAATCTCTCTATCAATCTATGATACATGAATAGGAAAAAGATTCCGAGAAAAAATCCCTTACCTTGTGCCTTATTACTTTTAATCTAAAAAAAGGGAAATGAGAGTTGTCAGAACTCTTGTTTTTAGTTATTTATTTTACTTAAGTTAGGTTTATTAAGTCTGTCGAGAATACTATTCTACGACAAGCAATTCATTTATTTTCAAATCGACGCATTTCCTATCTATTATTTGATTGACTAATCCTTCATATTGGAATGTGTGAAGAGTCAGATGTTTTGGCAATTCCTCGTGGGCGGATGAATCAAGAAGATTTTGAACCAAAGTTCTAGATTTTTGTTCATCCTTTACTGTAATAATATCTCGGGGTTTGCAGCGATAACTTGGTATATCCACTATACGACCATTAACTAAAATATGTCTATGGTTAACTAATTGGCGCACTTGAGGAATAGTCAAAGCCATACCCAATCGAAAAAGGGTGTTATCCAAACGCATTTCAAGTAATTGTAATAAAACTTGACCTAACCCTAAACCCTAAACCCTGAGCCTCGGGGTTATCGAGATCATCGGAACTTGTCGAAACTGCGATCCTAGTGAATTTGCCGATGCCGTCCGGCCGAGATGTACGCCCGAGCTCTGCTGGGTGACTGAACTCGTAAAAATTTGCTGTCACTTTCACCTTTCGTTCTTTGTTTCTTGTTTGTGCGAGATCGAATAATCGAAGTACAACTCGGACGAAATTCAGAGCGATGGTGAGGGAACAATAATTTACAAGAGATATAAATGATTGCACCATATATATCCAATTTTGTTATTAGATTTTCGTCACAAAAATGTAAGGTGTTAATGATTTTGGAAATAAAAAGATGATAAAAATAGATATCAATCAGTTTTTATATTATATTCAGTTCGATTTGGTTTTTATTAAATCAATACCGTTCAAAAATTTTTTTTTTGTCAAAGGTTGGTATTTCATTAACTTTCAAAACTGTACATGTAGATTTTTCCGCAAAAGCGAAAAAAGCCAAAATAACCAAAAAAGGCTTTGCGCCCTACATCTTCTCGATCTAAATACTATCAAGCCGAAAAAAAAGAGGCCAAAATTAGTAGACATATCAAGAATCAAAATCCAAACCAACTTCATAGTTATCCAAACCATCGTTGTAGTAGTTCCGACGCAAGATCCGGCTTGGTATTCCGGAAAGTGGCTCCTATACGACGAAGTGTCTTGTCATAGACTTGAAATATAGTATCCATATCCGAGAAAATGGAAGAGTGGATTCGTATGTTGCGTTCCGCCCAAATGGCATAGATCACGGATTGCCAAGCAAGAAGAGCAATATGTCTAGAGACTCTATTGTCCCATCCAGCATTCAACCAAGACAATATATCATCCCATCGAAAAGGAGCTTGGAACATCTTAAGTCGTCGACAAACTCGCAACCATAGCGCACGCGTGTAATCACATTAAAAAAAAAGATGGTTTCGTGATTCCGCATACTCATCACAAAATGGACAATTAGGATTTACTTGGATTCCCCAAGCCACAAGCCGGTCTCTAGTGGGATTGCGGTTCAACACAAAAATCCAAGCTGTGAATGCGTGTTTTGGAATGTGACCTTTGAACCAGATTATGGAGGACCATGAGGTCGGATCAGCCTTTGGACGTATCTGGTTCCAGACGAGTTTCGAATTGAACCTCGTCATCGGTTTAGAGCCTACTACCCATTGGAAAGTGTCTAAAGTGCCAGGAGACGGAGAGGTGTCTAACAAATAAGCTAGTAGCCGTATTTGTACCTCAGATCTCGGGTTCGGAATCTGCCAGCGGTTATCACGATATACTGAGGAAACTCTAGCAAATCTCGGGATTCCCAACTCCGCTGGACCATTAATACCCAATGTGTCGATTAGCCTCCCCAAGGGGGTCCAATGGTCGAGCCAGAAAAATATATCTTCCCCATTACCAAGAAGATATCGTGCGAATCCCTTAGCTAGGTCACGTAGCTTAAGTAGGCGGCGGAAAGACCAAGAGTATCGAGATAGGGGCTTAATGGACCATATGGAACGCGAGCCAATATAGTGTCGGAGAATCCAAGCTACCCATAATGATCCAGATCTTGAAAGAATCAACCACAATAGCTTTAACCCAATCGTGTTGTTCCAAGAAACCAAGTCTTTTAATCCTAAGCCACCCTCCCGTTTTGGCTTAGAGACATTGGACCAAGCAACCTTAACCCCCGAATGTATATCAGGATCCCCCTTCCACAAAAATGCTGAGCAAAACAAATTCAACTGCTTCATACAACTTTTTGGCAAGATAAAAGCACTCATCCAAAAGTTTATAATCCCAGAAATAACAGTAGACAAGAGTTGTAGTCTACCTGCAAAGGAGAGATGCTTGGTGGACCAATGTGTCATTCTTGCCTTTACTTTTTCCAACAGTGGTTTGTAATCACTGATACACAATTTAGTGGGTTTAAGCGGTAAGCCCAAATATTTGACCGGCAGAGAACCAAGTGGCATATTAACGAGCATAGCTAAGGATTCAGCCTCATTAGCCGTAATACCCGAAGTAAAGAGATTGCTCTTATTCAGGTTAATAGAGAGCCCGGAAAGTTCTTCAAAGTCCCTCAAAATATTGAGCACAACGGAGATAGAATTCGGGGAACCATCACAAAATATGAGTAGGTCGTCGGCAAATGCAAGGTGAGTAATTTTGAGCTCCTCGCATCCATAGTGGTAACCGAACCTGCCTTCTTCGGCTGCTGCATTCAACATATGAGACAGAACATTCATGCCAATCACGAATAGGTAAGGGGAGAGCGGGTCACCTTGACGGAGCCCTCGTGTACCCTTGAAATACCCAGAGAGTCCACCATTAATACTGACTGAGAATGAGGTGGTGGATATACACTCTCTAATGAGAGTAACTAAGTGTCTGGGCAAGTAAATGGCCCTCAGAGTAGCAAGTATGAAATCCCATCTGATAGAATCAAAGGCCTTGGAGATATCGATTTTGATTGTTGCACCACGTGGGGATCTGGGGGAACCATATCTATGCACTATTTCCGCTGCCAGGAGGCTATTCTCAACCATTAATCTACCCTGAATGAAAGCTGATTGATTCCGAGCAATAAGGTCGGGCAACATGGGTTTGATTCTCATCACTAGAAGCTTGGAGATAACCTTGTATAGAGTGTTACAACATGAGATAGGCCTGAAATCGGAGAAGGTATCAGCCCCCGGCTTCTTTGGAACTAGAATTAGCGCGGTAGAATTCAACCCCTTTGAAAGAGATCCCGAGGAGAAGAATTCCAAAATGGCTTCAGAACATTCAGACCCAATGATATCCCATGAGTGACGGAAAAACTCTGCAGTGAATCCGTCAGGACCCGGAGTTTTATTACCCTTCATGCTGAACATAGTAGATTTTATCATATCCGCTGTAATTGGTTCTGCCATTTGACTACTGAGCATGTCGGAAACTCGAAAATCTAAGATATCTTGGATTCTAGCCAACTGATCCTCGGGACTGCGTGGTTGCGGCGGACCCAAAATAGATTTGAAGTGTGCGATCGCAAGGGAGATGATCCCTTCCAGCTCCTCTACTCGGTTCCCATTCTGATCCAAGACATACTTGATAGAGTTCTTTGCTCTACGGCATATCATCGTGCGGTGGAAGAAGGAAGTGTTCTTGTCTCCTTCCTTTAGCCATTGGATCCGAGAGCGTTGTCTGAAAAAAGCCTCTTCTACAGACTTCAGATGAAGGAACTTTTCCAGACATATTCGTTCTCTTTCAAAAGTTTGTGGGGAAGGATTAGTAAGGGCTTGAACCTGCACAGAAAGCAAACTGTCGTTAGCAATAATCACTCTCTTCTCAATGTCACTATATAGCTCTTTGTTTAAAGATTTAAGTGGGCGTTTGAGTGTTTTGAGTTTCATTGAAAGAAGAGAGAGACTAGATCCACGTCTATCAGCCATGTCCCACACCTCCGCCACCACCTGAAGAAGTCTCGGGGATTTGGTTAGGTGGTTAAAGAATCTAAAGGGTCTAGGGTTAAGAGATCGGGGAGATAGAAGATGGATGAGGCCAGGACAGTGATCCGATATTCCTGGGGGAAGGAAAGAAGCATGGTTGTCCGGAAACTGAAGGAGAAAAGCTTCATTAGCTAACATCCTATCAAGCTTCTTGGCAATGGGTCGGTCCGGTTGTCGATTAGACCAGGTATACAGTGGCCCCTGAAAAGCCAAATCATCAACCTCAATGATATTCAAGCAATCATTGAACCGTTCCATACTTGGACTAGTTCTAATAAGTCCCACGGAAGAGTGTTCAGATGGGTTTCTGATCTCATTAAAATCTCCTATGATGAGCCAAGGAGAGCGGCTCCCAAAGTAAGAGACGACTTATCCGATCATTATGGGCATATATAACTGAGCATAGAACCTCATGACATCCCGGCAACTTAAGAGTGACAGTTATGTGTTGATCCGATTCCTCAAGGATATGCACTACTGCTGGTGATTTCCAGATCAACCAAATACGACCACTCGGATTACTGGCATAATTAATGTATGAGCTCCAATCAGGTCCCAGGTGAGGCATTATCAAGGGTTGGTTTGGACATAGAACATGAGTCTCAAGAATAGCACAAAAGAATGGATTATTAAGGTTTATGAGAGATTTAAGGGCTCTATGTTTGGAGGGGGCATTAAATCCCCTCACGTTCCAAAATAGAATGGACATGATTAAAGAGAAGGTGGGGGAGGATCCTTTGCCAAAGAAGTTGGCAAAGGCAATAATGGGGGGGGGGTAGCAAATAGGGACGAAGACATGGATAGGTTAGAGGGGAATGGGGGGATATTTGGTTCGGGTGACTTGGTAAGCAATTTTGGCGACTTAGGGGGGGAATGGGAGGTAAAAGAGGGTAGTGTCGGGGAGATAATATTGGGGAGAGCAACATTAGATACCTCAGCACCAATCACATCTTTCTCCACAGCAACATGTTGAGTAATCACAGTGCTGGCTGCCAAGGGTGCAACCTTAAGCTCAGCTTTCTGCAAAATAGTTTTAGACATGTAGGTCTCTTCCTCACCCAACAAAGAGACATCGGTGGCACTTAGATTGACAGCTAGGGAAGGGGATTGAGGTCGGGTCGCTTTCGGAGGGCTCTTAGGAGAGGAGTCTACTTTAGGGCAACTGGATTTACCATGCCCTATGGTTCCACAACAAGGGCAAGCCAAAGGAACCCACGGATACGAGACTGAAACTGTTCTAATCAATCCCGACTCAAACTGCACCTCTAGCTCAGTTGGTAAAGGTTTAGTCAAATCCATTTCCACTTTAACTTCTGCAGCATTAATACCATTGATTGCTCGAACTTGCAACGGATTCCCAAGCATACTTGCTATATAGCTTAGTCCATTAATGTGAAGCAAATCAAACGGGACATTATGAAGTTTGGCTCGAATTGGGGCTGCATTCAATGTGGGGAGATTGTAATTATAATCGGTGCTCCATTTCCTCACCAAGAATGCTTGGTCACCAATATACCATAAACCTTGCTCCAACACTGCATTCCTAACAGTTTCAGACTGTATTCTAACCAATACTGAGTTTCCAGGCAAGGGGTGGATTTCAAGCTTCCTTTGCTTGCCCCAAAGAAAATTTAAAACACCGGTAATCTTTGCAAATTTCGGCTTCACGCCATAAAAAGAGCAGACCACATAATCTTGGTGAATCCGAGCTCCTTCTATCAAGACAGATTCAGGTACTATGATACGCGGCTTACCAGACGGAGAGGCGATAGGTTCACCGACCTTTCTCAACTGACCAAATGAGCTTTGAAATCTCGCAGCCCAAGATATTGGAGCTTGGGTCGGATTTGGCAGAATCGACCCAGCTGATTTCGTATCCAACTCAACCTGAACAGTAACTGGAGAGACCAAGGATTGAGTTTCGGCAGTATCGAACTGACCGGATACAACCGCAGAAGCATACGAGCTAGTGGTGCTCGAATGAGACAGTTCGAATAACTCATTTTTCATTTCGGTACGGTTCCAAAATCCACCCCTTTGCACAAATCTACGACATACATGAATCAATTATAACTGATGGATAAAAGATGAGGGAGCAAAGAGTCGAATCTAAAACTTCTCACAATGAATGAAAGGCGAAATTCTTACCAAGGCTTTTCTCTATCACGACCTTGATTAGTTAAACGTATAAAGTTCATGATAATTGGCTATCATCGGAACTAAATTTCCCGACAGATTTAGAACATCAGAGCTATGTCGGCCAAGTACAATTCTAGTACAGAGGACAAAGCCGATAATTAACTAATTATATCGTAAATTATATCGTACTAAAGCTATAATTGACTATTTAATTAAGTAATTAACCAATTAGAGAATAAAAGGAGACAGAAAAGGCACGTGGGGTTGGGACCTGGGGGGCCAGACAAAGACTCAATCCATCTCTCATTCTTAGCCCCTTCATGATTACTTCGAAAAAATTATCGGATTCAGTTGGATATAATTATTTAAATGTACCTAATTAATTAGAAAAAAATAAAGAAATATCTTTAAAATAAAAATTTTAATCAAATTGTATTCAAAATGAATGTATTTAAAATATATCCAACACAAACAAAACTGAGTGAATTTAGTTTTCTCTCTCTTTTTTTCCTTCTATTATCTCTATCACTGTCAATCTCTTCATCGTATTTTGTACTTTGTATTTCTCTTTAAAGTATCATTAATTGGCTTTTTATTATTATTATTATTATTATTATGCACCACAATTGAATTTTGCAAACCCCGCAATTTCAAGCCCAAAATCCAACATCATATGCGCACGGAAAAAGTTTGAAAGATTAGCTAATGCAAAATTTCCTTTCTTTGTCATTATACAATAGCTACCCAATAAATTCGAATAAGGAATATCTTCATCCTGATATTATGTAACAAAGGAGGTAAATAAATATGAAATTGCAATAATTTAACTGAAAAATTGCAAGAAAAAAATTGACGATTGTTATTATTTTAAAAAATAAATAAATAGGATTTTTGCCACAAAACAAATATGAAAAATTAGGATTCGCCACGTAGTTGATCATGTCTGGAATTTGATTATTCCGGAGATCAATGATCTCAATAGATTCTTTAAAAAAATGCGAAATTTGAATTTGTTCGAACAAAAAGGAAACTTTTTTCAATGAAAAGGAAACTTTTATCGGTTTATGAGGATAAAATTGTAAAAAGCATTCCTAATCTTAGTCTATTTTAATATTTTAATTTTATATAATTTTAGATTAATTACGAAAAGGAAATTACGGATCATAGAAAAGGAAAATGCGAGAACAAATACACAAATATTTCCAAATTCCTGATGGAAACGAAAATCTGCCAATGAGTAATTCCTTTAAATAGTAACATCCGGACCACCTCATAAACCCTAAACCCTTTCAAGAGTGAAACCTCTCCCATCTCCTTTTGAGTTCATCGTCTCCTCCTCTCCTGAAGATCGTTTCGCTCGAATTCCTTAAGAACCCTAGATTGCTTTTCCCCTGTTCTTACAAACCCAGAAGCCAAAATCCGAAATTATACCCTAAAGGATCACGCTTTTCTTCTGATTCTCCTTCGAGAATGTGCACCAGGACTTCGAATTCCGTCAATGTTGAGGCCGAATTCTGCCCTGAAGCAATCGAGAAGTGGCTTGCGATACTGCGGGATGGAATCAAGAAGGACGAGGGTTATCTCCGGTCGGAATTCTCGCTGAAGGCGAAGAAGCATTTATCGGCGCTCGGTTGGAAATTCCACTACGTTATGAAAGAGAAGAGGCGAGAGTTGCGGTATGTGTCTCCAGAGGGAAAGTGCTTTTACTCTCTCGCGACCGCTTGCGTGGAAATCGCTCGAGAGAATGCGCCAAAGCCTCGAAATCTTGCGCTACAAGAAACATCTGGCGGTAGAGAATCATTACCTAAATCGAAGAAAAGGAAAAGGAAAGGACAGAGACCGAAGGTCCGGTCTAATTCGAAGAGAAGGAAGAGGGAAGTGCAGGGAACCGAGGATTGCTTCAATGGCGATGAGTTGTCTGTTGGTGGTGGAACTCCAGAAGAGGAAACTCGGACAAGGGAAGAGGAGATCGAGAATGAGGTCAAGCCCGGAATGGGGAAGTCGCTCAAAAAGGTTCTGGAACTGAAGGAAGGGCAGAAGCCTCAGAGATCATCGACGAGGGTTCAGTCCCGTTCCCATGATGCCACGGATGATATGAACGTAGACACTTGCTCTATCTGCCACTGGGGTGGTGAGTTGGTTCTCTGTGATGGCTGCCCATCAGCTTTCCACTACGGTTGCATTGGTTTGAAGGGTCTTCCCGAGGGAAATTTCTGGTTCTGCCCTTCTTGCTGCTGCGGAATTTGCGGATCCAGGGAAAGCACACGCGATAGCCTTGTGACTTGCGAGCAATGCCAAACCAAATTCCATTTCGGGTGCGGGAAACAGGACCTAGAAGTCTCGTGCAAAGGCCTGTTCTGCAATACTCAGTGCCAAAACGTGTACTCTGCCGTCGAGAATCTCTTGGGGAAGAAGATTCCTGTTAAAGGCGGAGATCTGGTCTGGAGATTGATAAGAGGTCCAGCCGAGGAGGAATACTACGACGTCAAACTGATCTCCAAGCTCCATCGCTGCGTCAAGCTACTGCACGAATGCTTCGAGCCTCTGAAAGATCCATTTACGGGCAGAGACCTCGTCCAAGACATGATCTTTGGGGGAGAATCCATGCGGGCAAGAATAAACTCCCACCGTTTTTACACCGTCGTTCTCTTAAAGAAGAAGAAGATCGTTACAGTAGCGACGGTGAGAGTACACAAGGACACAGCCGAAATCCCGTACGTGGCGACAGCTCTCAAGTACAGGAAACATGGGATGTGTCGGACTATGATGACGGAGCTGGAGAAGCAGATGTCGATGGTCGGAGTCCGGAGACTGGTTCTTCCCGCCATGACAGATGTGTTGAAAACTTGGACAGAACGGTTCGGGTTTTCGGTAATGGAAGAGACAGAGAGATCGAATCTTCAGAAACACAGTTTTCTTGATTTCTACGGTACCGTGATGTGCCATAAGTTCCTCATGAGAAGACCGAATTCATCTGAATCGAACCTGACAGAGGAAGAACAGAGAGTGTGATTGAATCAGATCCGGTTAAAAGGGTAAATGTTTTTTTTTTTTTTTGTGATTGGAAATTTACCGGTTTAATATGTAAAGGTGGTATTTTTATGTTGGATTTAGTGTAAAGTTGTTATTGGAAGACAATTGTTTTCTTGTGTTATAAGCAAAAGCCACATGCGTTATTGGGGTCGGTCCAATTCAATACTGCAAGGGGTCTGTCTCATATTATATAGTTTATTTACCGTTAGAAATTTACTGCATATTTTTTAACAATTTTTTAATATTTGGATTAGAAATTGTTTGCTCATCAAGACCATCCAAACCATTATGAGTATTTTGCTTTGCAAGTGATAAACACATTTGTTTACTTTGATATAATGATTGATCTTAGTCCTTAGATATTGACCACAATATTTATAAAAAAGGTATTTTACAATAGCCACTTTTTTTTTTTTTTTTACCAAAGAGTATGTATAATATTAGATGAATTTGATCGAGATTAAGTCGTAGCACTAATTTCGTTTGAATCCTTCCTTAGCAATAATGTTTTAGCTAATCCGAATACAAGATTATTCGGATCAATGAATGCACATATTTTCATAATGAAAAAAATAAATAAAGATATAGCATTTATAAAATGAAAATACGGTGAGATGTTGTAAGATGGATAAAAATAATTAAAGGAGGCTGTAAAAAAGCTGTAGGATTCACTGATGTTGTCAGTAATTTTCTCGGCCACTCGTGGAAGACGACAATCCAAACCCATGCCTTGTATTTTGTTCATGTTGTTGTTTGTCACTCCTAATAATTATTATAATTTTTTTTTTATCTAAACAATGATTAAGTTGTATTTTGTTCTCCCCACTCGTAGCTATTTTTTATTTTAAAAAATATATCAGTTGAAATTTATATTACATTCATTGTTCATTTTGTTCTTTCGATTTCTATTAACAAAATTATTTAAAAAGATCATTATCATTCAGTGAATTTTATATTTGATTATGTTACAATTATTTCAATCTTTAAAAATTACATGTAATTCATTTTTAAACAAACAAGATTCATATATAATAATATTTTCTTTATTAAATTTGATTTAGTTAAAAACTGAAATATTTCATCTACAAAGTTCATCGGCCTTTTTGTCTTCCCATTACATCAGGGTGACGTCATACTTTTTAATTTTTCGAAATTATATTTTGTTTGTCTTTAGGCTCAAACAAAAAAGTTTATAGAGAATTAATCAAAATTAGGAGTTGATGTTTAGTTCACAATCGGTTCGAATGTAAATCGAATTATACCAAATCGAATCGAATAATATTCAGTTTTAATTTGATACAATTTATGTTGAACCGATTTGAATCGGATTCAATAAATATAGAACTGAATTTGATAAATACTGAATAAAATCCCAAATCATCAAGTTTTATGTACGAAAATCAATGTGTGAATATCACTTCTCCATTTTTGTATGGTATTTATATAAAACACTGTAACCAAACCAAATCTATTAACATTCAATTGTTTGTAGTTTGGTACAATTTTTATATAACTGAATAAACCCAATTAATATAGAAACTGATATCAGAAATGTCCATCCCTAATCAAAATATATGTGGAAAACTATTTATTGGTTGATATTTAGATTTAAACTAAATAATTAGATTAATTGAAAAATATGAATATTTGAGTTGTTGATTGGGCTTCAATTTCAACAAAGCAACTCTTTTAAAAACGTGTCCAAATTAATTACTTTAAAAAAAAAATCATAAACAGAGAAACTAAAGAGATAAAAGCTCCAAGGAATCTAGCCGAGGATTCAGGAGGAGATCGGAGGGCATTACTGTCAGGGGTAGTTTCGGAATAATAGAAAATATGCACGACAAATGAAAAAACAAGAATGGAAAATTAGTGGGGTCCACAAAAGATTTCAAATTAAAGAAGAAATCCCCCAGAGTGGCAGCTGGCCTTCTGCTGCCTCTTCAGAACACATTCACATGAACACAACGCAGACACTGCGAGAGAGAGAGGCGAGTGACAAGAACCCTACATCGATTTCAGATCTCTCGGCTTAATCGAGAAAGTTTTATCGTGGGCTTTGCTTTTTCTGTCTTCTTTTTGCTTGCAGAACCTTGGAGATCTTTTCTGTGGAGCTCCTTTCATGGCTTCTCAATCGCGTTTTCGGGATCGATGAGTGTAATAAAGCCCTTTCTATGATTCATCTTCGTTCGCTTCGCCATTTTTATTCTGGGTTTCTCTCTCTCTCTCTCTCTCTCTCTCTCTCTCATTTGATAGCTCGTTCTGTCTTCGGGGTGTATTGAATTTGCTTCCTCTTTCTTAAGATTAATGGCAGCGAAAATTTCTGGTCAGGTGTCTGCCATGCTTATTGGGTCAGTTTTCTGACAGATTTTCCCCCATTGTGATATTGTACGCCATGGGTAGTTCCAATCCAAATCAACCGAGAACACGAGATTCTTCTCTGATGAATTGTTGTCTTTGATCTGGAAGGTTGTGAATTAGCGAAGAGTTGATCAGTTCGTCTACCGTTCAACGATTCCGAGGAGGAGAATGTTGTGTGCTTGTTCCGGCGAACAATTCCGGTTGGAGGAGCCGCCACAGTCGCCGGATTCTCTGGCCACAAGAGATTTCTCGGCGAGGGGGCTTTCCTCCAGAACCGGAAATGGCGACTGGGACTCCAAACTGGAAGAGATTCAGGTCGATGAAGCTGAATCCACTCTGAAGGAGGCTCTCTCACTGTCCTCCAGAACCGGAAATGGCGACTGGGACTCCAAACTGGAAGAGATTCAGGTCGATGAAGCTGAATCCACTCTGAAGGAGGCTCTCTCACTGAACTACGAGGTGGGTTTTCCTTCATTTCCATCAAAATTTTCCCGGAAAACCATCACAATAGTCTCACTGATTTCCCCTTCTGAATCTTCCTGCAATTTTCTTGTGACGTAGGAAGCTAGGGCTTTGCTTGGTAGGCTTGAATACCAGAGAGGGAACTTCGATGCAGCTCTTCAGGTGTTCCAAGGGATTGACATTAGGGCATTGACTCCGAGAATGATCAAAGCCATCAAGGAGCGAACTCGGCCCCGCAAACCACGTTCCAGAATCGACATCGTGCCACCGAGCGTAATGTCGATGCATTCAGTAAGCTTGCTTCTCGAAGCAATCTTCCTCAAATCGAGATCACTCGAGGAACTCGGGTCCTACAGAGGTAATATATCAGATGTGAAATCTCTCCTCCTGCACAAGCCCGTTGTTGCAATCTCGTGGAATGAGCCATGAGACATAGTTAAAGGTTGTTCTGTTGTGTCTTGTGTTTTTTTTTTGCCAGAGGCTGCTGTGGAATGTAAGATAATTTTTGACACAGTTGAATCAGCATTTCCAAAGGGTATGCCCGGCGGAATCAGCCAAGTCTGTAAACTGCAGGATGTGTTCCATAAGGCCCTTGAATTGCTTCCATGTCTATGGACAAAAGCCGGGCATCTCCATGAAACTATAGCTTCATATCGTCGAGCTTTAGTCAAGCCATGGAATTTAGATCCTCAGAAACTAGCCGCCACACAGAAAGCTCTGGCTTCTGTTCTACTGTATGGAGGTGTTGAGGCAAGCTCTAAGGACAACACACAGGAAGCTATACTGTTGCTGCTAATCCTCGTGAAAAAGGCGGTGGTAGGAGAAATAGAATGGGATCCAGAACTCATGGATCATCTGAGTTTCGCCCTTTCGGTAACCGGGCAGTTTGAGTTGCTGGCTAACTATGTGGAGCAGATACTTCCAGGTGTATACACACGGGGAGAGAGATGGTACTTCCTCTCTCTCTGTTATAGTGCTGCAGGAGACAATGAAGCAGCCATAAACTTGTTGAAGAAAGCTTCAGGTCCTTCTGAAGCACGGCAAGCACCACAAGCTTCTTCCTTATTGCTTGGAGCAAAGTTGTGCTCTGAAGATACGAAAAACTCGAGGGACGGTATAGATTTTGCTCATAGGCTGCTAGATTTGGCGAATAACCAGAGCGAACATCTTCTGGGTCGAGCTCACAGGTTCCTTGGTGCCTGCTATGGAAATGCGGCTAGAATTTCCATGTCAGACTCTGAAAGAGTTTTCTTTCAGAAGAAATTTCTGCAATCTCTAAACCGTGCAGCTAAGAATGCC